TTGGTTTGTCGCATATATCTTTATCAAAGTGCAAAAGTTGATCTTGCTAGGAATAAAAATGTATTTTTAACAAATTTTTAACTGCGACCACTTTTATGTGCGAATCGCCGAAATGAAATGGTATGTAGAAAATAGGTGTACTTTGAGGGGGTGTGTGAGGCTGAAAGTTGTTTTTATCACAAAATAACTTATGAACTTCTCTTAGTTGGAGATTTAGCTGTAACTTGACATCAAAACATCTAAGTTTCAAGACAGTCGATTTTTGTATTTTTGTCCACCTTCGCGGCACTGTGCGACCCCATAAATTGCCTGCATTTGATAAATAAAATTTTAACTGAATTCAAATTGAAATAAAATTTTTTTTCTTAAAACTGACTAGTTATTATTATTGCTTAATATTAATTTCTATTGTTATTACAAATATTCACAATTATTTTCATGAAAATTTTTTGGAGTTTAAAGTTCACATTAATTAAAAAAAAATAAAAATTCATTAAAATTTTCTAATCTTTATTAAGAATTTTTATTAAATTCTAATATCATAACGCTTAAATTTCAAGTCGCTAAGAATTACCGTTTATTTATGAGAATTTTTTTTTGTGGAGGGTGTTGCAAATTTTCTTTCACATAAAAATATGTTTTTATCATGCGTTAAAAGAAGCTTTAACGAAGCGTTTTTCTGCCCCGTTTCTTCTCTTATAAACAGGTCCGGGCGACGCCTACTGCGCAATACCCTCGTGGCAATGTCCCATGTTCGTATACACGAAGTCTAAGGCGAAAATTAAGCTGAGATATTCTCGACGAGCCCCGGGTTAGTCTACAATAAATGAACAGTTTCATAGATACATCGAATTTTATATTGCTTTCTACCCAAATTGCAAAATAACGACCCAGAGGAACCCAAGCAATATTAAACCGGGATCCCTATAGGAAGATTGTAGAGGCGAACAGATTCGAACTAAAAGAGCTCAACACGCATGTAAGCTTACAAAATTGCATGACCTCCAGTGCATACTAAACGCACATCCAAGGCCCCGTGATGGAACACAGAACTTGGACAGCACAGGCGTGAAGTACATGAGCTCTTCAAGCTGTGTAAGCCAGCTGACAATGAGTTCTACTGGGAGCAGTACAATGGCCTCTTAAAATGTTATAAGAAAGAAATCCATAGGTCCAAGGAGCAATCCTGGAAGGACTTCTGCAGCAGTGGCTAGGTTAAAGGAGCTGCTGTCCAAGCAACCGTCGACGCCAATGTTAACCTGCGAGGAGTCGCTACAGGTCCTAGGTTCGCTGAAGAAAGCGAGTAATGCCCTCTAGGTATTACTTGGTGCCTATCCCCAGCCCTAACGCATTGGTGCTACACAGCAACAGTGAGGCAAATATTATTCTATGGCGCTCCGGTGTGGTGGACCGCGACAGAAAGGAACACTTAACTCAAGACAATGTAGAGTGTTCAACGTCTCTTTCAGTAGGAACGGGAGTGTATTGCTCAAAACTTAATCTTCGTTAGCCCATAATGCTGCCGCATCATATTTAAAGCAGAGGTCTTCGCAGTGAAAAAAGGCGCTAAGCTAGCCTACTCAATGACCTAAAATAACTCTAAAGTTAACATATTTGTACGTTATATAGTTAGGCAGCGATTAAGGCTATAAACTCACATCACAAAATACCCTTAGAATCAGGGAGCCCATAAATAGAGCAGCAGCAACCTGGCGAATGTATATGTATTGAATCTCTGGCCACAAGGATATTGCCAAAAGCGGAATCCACTTGGTTCTAGAACAAGAAAATAACATTCCAAAAGAGCTTACAAATCTTTAAAGCGAAATGGTTCATATGGTGAAAAAGCAGACTATATGGAGATGGCGAGGGCTAAACACCTGTAAAATCTCCAAAGTCATGTGCAGACAAGAAAACGGGACACAAACCCGGTTTATACCGTCACTGGCACGAAGATACTGCATGATAGATGTCCTAACAGGGCATAACATGTAAATAGGCAGCGCACGTAAGCAAAATGGGGATTGCTGTCAAAGAGATTTACAGAAAATGCATGGTGAGGTAAAAAAGGGAGACCCTAGAATACGTCCTATGCCATTGTGCTGCTGTATCAAAAACACGATTGAAATATCTCGGAGCTCCAGAGTTTAATAATCTTGAAGACGTGACAACAATTGAGCTTCAAGCACTGCTGAAATTCTCAAAAAGCGTTGATATCCTTAATGATTTATACTTCGAATATGCTTAACTAAACCTCTATCTCCATCTGGCATCACTAAGGACCTACTGGTCTAAGAGGGCCATACAGCCAGCCAAAATAATCTAATCTACCCAATAGTTTCGGGGCTTTTATAGACCATACTACTATATCTTACTATTTTATATTTTCTTAATTCTAGCGTGTAAAATCTCTTTTAGCTGGTTGTTTGGTGGCTCAAAGAGCCATAATATGATCGAAAAAATAAAAATTTAAATGGCGGTTAAATTTTTTCGTCAAAACAGTATAATCCCGATTTTAACTGTTAAATAATGATTTTTATTACAAAGACCATAGCCATTAGGGTCCTTGCATTTAAGCTTTAGTTACATTTTTTTATCCGGAGCTCATTTTTGATAAAATTGCAAATAGAGGGTATTCAATATAAGCCGCTGATGTTTAGTGGTACTATAGGCCTTATATCAGTACGGCAAGGTGAATTGATAACTCCATCTTGACGATCGGCGGAGTTATCTATCACAAACATCTTATCTGATCTTTGCGACCTTGGATATTTAGTTTTTGAGATGCATTTTTTTTATAAATCAGTAATTTTTTAATATGCTTAATGAAAAGTCTATAGTGATTTGCCATAAATCATCAAATATTACCTATACTAGCACTTAAAAAAAAACAATTGACCTACATATTAAACTCAATGGAATTTAATGTTTAGTGCCTGCTTTGAATGTTAAACTGCAAAACTACGCCCCACATGTTACGCTTACAACATACAAATGCAGGCCATGTTGGTGACTCTTCTTATGTACACAAAATTATTATCTACATAGACCGACCCACTAAAGTAAACCATCATCTACGACATTAGTTGCACGCTGTGACTAGATAGTAAATCATCAATACATACACACACACATGTTTTCAAAGTAAGAAAAAATTAACAACAGCCAATAATTAAAACTACAGTTTAACAAAAAATAGAACTGCACATCAGCGTTTTCAAAGCTGCATAAAAGCCAATTCTCTATGCATACTCTGTTGACAATAGCTCCGGTGTTTTGCCATAGGCACTGCCTGGCAAAATGTGCTACTCGCGATTGTTTGCCACCGCCTTTGGTGAGAGAGATAATGATGATGGCGTGGCAGAAAACAGGGAACACAAACACGAACATCCAACTTTTGGCAAACGATATGCAGCTTAGTGTTATTAGCTGTTTTCATACTTAGTTGTTGTTAATTTGTTTACGTTTTTGTATCGAGGCGCTTGTGATTTGAGTAGGCAAACACCGCTTGTGTACTTTTAGTGGCATACATAAATCTCAGCACGTTTTATTTTTTTATTTTCAAAATATGAAAATTGTGTTGGTGGTAAAATTAATTTATATACATATATATATTAGCATCTAACACCTCCTATAGCATAAAACATGCACAACAGTGGTATTCGAAATTAATTGCTTCGCTGAGATAAATTCATATTCATGGAGATGCTTAGTAAATTTATGTACATGAAAGTAAAAAAAAAATATAATTTTTTTTTGAAAATTTGCTAGTCTCGAGTAAT